TTCCTTATTTATGTATATTTTTGAGACCTTTTAATTATTTATTAATAAACTAATGTTTTCTTATCGGCTGCAAGATGAAATTCACGTAATTACATTCAATTACATAATCAGGGAGTATTTGCTTTTGTTTTGAATTGGTTCGTTTAAAAGTAGACATTTTAAGCTCTGTATATATATTTCTCACGTATGTGAGGTACCCCAATTTTAAGTTATTTCATTATCAGGAAAAAATTCAAGTGATCATGTGAGCGCCTCCCTGTCCTGCATGCGCGTTAATACTTTTACACACAAATACTTGAATATGAATAGTAATAGAGCATATTAATTTTAGGTTAACGCTGCAGTATGGTATCTGCATTAAAATAAATCTTCACAAGTCTACATCAGACAGATGCAGTTATAACCTGTAAATTGAAGGTTTAAATGGTGTAACGGGCAATGCAGCTCCAATTTGTTGATCATTAGTGTTCTTGATCAAGATTAAATGGATGTCGCAGTCATAAACATGTTTTAATGACTCTCATAACGTTGTTTTAATAAATCGCTTATGCATTAAATAATACAGATACAAATCAGGTTAAGTTTAAGATTGCAGTTTCCCATTTTGCATATGCATATACATAAAGTAAATTATTTTTTACATGTAATGATACAAAATAAAACCAAACAAGATTTGTAATGAAGACAAAATATGTAGACAAATAAGAATAAATGATGAAACCCCACAGCACATCTCTTGAGCGTCGCACTCAGCAGCATGTGCGCCGAACAACCAAATCTTGCACTACATGAATGCAGCGCAGATAGCGACACAATTAAGTTATGTGAAACACATAAAATGTTTAAATAAGATAATATTGACAATGAACATTATATGAGATTTAAAAAAAAAATGTGTACTTCAGTCTGCCTGTGCATTTCTGACCCGCACAGTAAATGCTGACTTGGGCTAAATCTCCGCAAAGTTCTCGTTGAGAATGCAATTTCTAAAATGTCATTAGAATGAATTAATTTCTAAAATGTTATGATACGGAAAGTCTGAAACAGATTGCAGAAGTATAGAGTAAATTGTGGCCAGGTTTAATTTATTTGTTTCTAGGCTAGGCTACAACTTTTAATGCACCGATGCAAAGTAAACAACCATTTATTTAAGGTAACATGATTCATATTAGATAAATAATGCTGCACACCTGTTAAAGGTTTCAAATCTAAAATATGGTGTAATACTTAGCTTAGCATAAATGCAAGCACAGGCTCATTGACATTTATCCTGCTTGAGTTTGTTCTAAATGAGAAATGCACATAACTTCATTACTAAATTTGCATCTGTGAATATGAAATGTTTTAACTACAGTGTTTTCCTTTCATTTTCCACCGACTGCAGCCGTCAAACGTAACACATCGGCAAGGCAAAGCTGACGGCTATTTGTGAAACTGCGCTTTGAAGCATTTACTTGATAACTTGAAAGCACCCTCATTAGAAATCGCGTCTCCCCCCCCCATTTACGGTGCCCATTTACAGTTGCAGGTTCCATTCTCGAACTGTTCAGCACATTTTCACTGCACAAATGTACAAATCTCTTGTAATGACACATTAGTAAAACATGTTTTCACGGAAACTATAGTTTTCCACCAAAATAACAGATCAACTGTCATAAAAGTACAAGGGTTTCTCTTGCAAGTGAAGCACAAAATATGCATATTATTTTACAAAAACCTTTAAATATTATTGTATTTGGATCGTTCTTCTACAGGTTTTTAACAATACGTCTGCACAAACACTGCAAGCTAAAGTTTGAGATTATTTTCATCTGTTTTATACAGTATGTTTCCAAAATAAAACTGCTGTTTTACATTTTTGAGCGTGTGGTAGTTTATTGAAGTTGATTGTAAAGCCATTGCTGCTAGTCATTTGATTTGTAAGCTTTATAATGTACAGTGTTGATCTAAATGCAAACTAAGTTCTAATTAAACAAAGTTGTGTACTCATCCATGTTGAAAGGTACGACGTTGAAACAATGTTGCATTATCAACGTTGATTCAATTTGCAAAATCAACACCTAATTCAATGTTAATCCAACGTCTACAGGACGATCTTAATTCACCCATGCTGAAGGTAAGACGGTGAAACAATGTCGCTATTTAAACGGTGAAACAATGTCACAATATCAACGATGATCCAATTTGCAAAATGGAAACATAATACAACGTTGATTCAACCATGGTACTGATGTTGATTCACCGGTGAATCAACGTTGAAATGCCAGCTGGGATTATTTGTGTCCCGTTAAAAAATTGCTCTTGAGAAATTGTTTATTGTCCCCCTCTACTGTTAGGCGAAATTTACGTCTCTGGGGCTAGGTGACATTACCTTGCCCCATTGGATCCAAAACAAGCTGTATTTGGAGCTTGATTAAATAAATGCTTTGTTTATCATGTTTATAGCTTGTTTATAACATTTATAGCTATGAAAATTGCAGGATGTTTTGAAAGGTACATAGACCTCTTAAATGCCTAAATATCAAGGCAGAATGTATTTCTCATGACATGACCCCTTTAAACTGACTACTTGTACTTTTACTTGATTACAGAAACTGTAATTTTTACTCCGTACAACTTAAGTACTCATTACTTTTTTTTTGCATTTTTATTTTATCTCATGCACATTAAATATGCTAAACAGAGACTCAAAAGTGCTTTTGATATGAAAGAACCAATGAGGTTTGTTTTCATGCATCATGTAATGTCTCTGATTACTTGATTTTAGGGAATTAATTATTATTAATTAATTCAGGGTTTGAAAGGACTCGACTCTGAAAATTCGAGGTCCACCTGATTAAAACTGAATTCCAATTTGATAGTTTACACTTTAAATCAACGGTCGTCCAGCGAGCCGTTGACCTCAGTATATTTTAACAATTTGAATATTGGTATTTCCCTTGGCCACAGGTCAATACAATTATGATCATTTGTAAGCTCCTAGCGAGGTAATGTGATCTTGGCAAGGTTTAACTTTAAAATGTCACGACACCAGACAATACTTCTTTATAAATGAAACACAAATTTTATTGACTATTCTAGATTACATTAAAACTAAGCTAAAACACACACATACATTTGCATACAGTTCTGAAGAATGAATTAACGGAGTTGCATGAAGTTTTCAAAGTTCTAACTCATTTCCACGAGTGGTTTTAAATTCAACCCTGGGACAATCACAAAGCAGAGATTTTCTTATCTTTACTGCTTAACTCAATTCACCAGTTTAGCACCTATTTCAGCAGATGTAAGATTTGTTTGTACTTGCGTTTGCTGAAATCTGAGAAGCGGAGAGGTTTTCTCGTTGCTGACACAGGCCTCCTGGATGGCTGCTTGAGGGAAATTCCTTAGCTGATTGGCTGTTGCGGTGACATCAGAATGATGTCTTTTTGGGAGAGCCCTCGTTGGATTGGTTGGTTGCTTGATGACGCAGAGGCTTGAGTTGTTCTGCTAAAAAGTCTGAGTTGCAAGACTTTAAGTTCTTTGAAGATCGCGAAGTTTCAACTGAAGTGTTTGAGTTTTAGATGATCGGTCGCTTTGATGGTAAGCATGTGAGCAGTTGGAGTGCTCGTAACACGGCAAAAAGCGAAGAGCAAGCCAGAGCTGTTGAATCTGTGTTGCTGTGGGGTTTTGATCTGTGGCATACATCCAACCTACGGTGCGATCTTCCAATCGGCTTCTTGCAAGGCGGAGCGTGCATACATTAACAAGAGGCTTCAATTCATCACATGAGGACACCTATAAAAGTTGTTAATACTTCTATAAAGTCTCTTAAATGCAAATATTGTACATACTGTTAAAGTTTTACTTCATTTCAACATTCTGCATTTGTCGTGCCCCTTCGTTCAAGATTAAACTTCACATATTACACACATTTTAATAACCTTATTTCCTAAAAAGGGTAATAAACACTGATTAAAGTTGCACCGATTACATGAAACACGTCAAGCATATATATAAGACATACAACATATTATTTGTGAATCTGGTTGACCTGTTATGCGCATAAATGATTATCTGTTGAAATTGTCTGTTGTAAGTTTCGTGTTCCTTTGTCTGTGACAGGAGAAACGCGCACTTTTTTTGGGAAGTAGTAAAAGATGCGTCCCTTTTTTGGAATGCAGGGGGAAAGGGGAGGTGTCCTGAGGTCATGCCCATGTCACGAGTTTGCTGATACAGTTTGCTGAGTTTAATTTAGTCACATTATCACTGTTCTTTAGGTCCATTGTACATCAAGCCTGAGGGTGTGATTAACCCTCTGGGGTCCAAAGGTGTTTTGGGGCCTGGAAAAGTTTTGACATGCCCTGACATTTGTGCTTTTTTCAGTTGCTTACAAACATTTGAATGTCTAAAGTTTAATAACACTGTAATCAGCACAAACTGGGCTACAATAATATGTGAGCAGCATGTATGTACGTGATTGTGTTTTTGAGAAAACAACGTTTATGCATGCTTAGTGAAAAACTAAAATTTTAAAGTCACTGAAATAAGGCCATAAAACACATACAGAACATTTGATCACAAGACTTTTGAGAACTGGATCTTGAAGTCTAGAGTTTTTGCTAAAAAATTATGTGAAAATCATCTTACTCATTCACAGAAAACAATATATTGATTTAAATTTTCTAAGACACTTTTTGTGTAGAAAAGGTATATGCGAGGGGGCGTGAATGTTCATGCATAATGCTGTGATTCACACCTGAGAAGACAAAGGCCTGCATAATGAGCTGCATAATGAGCTGTCAGGTGTGTGACTGAGAGGGAATTGCTACAAGAAAGAATGTGAGGAAAAAATAAATTTATATATTTTTTGTTTGTAGTTTATTTAGAATACATATAACTATCACATAAAATAACTCATGGGAGTGTGTGCATCACATGGTCTTAGCTGTGGTCCAGGTTCTTGTGCAGGCAGGAATCTCCATTTCCATGACCAAGTGGGCTGCTTTGCTTTGGCTCTCTTTGCAATAGGTTCTTTTACACTGTTATTCTCACATCTGAAATAAAAAAGCAAGCATGCTGTTTACACAAACTACATTATTAATATTATTATGATGTTCACTGATACTAGTACTAATTTATCGAAACAAAGAACACAATTTACCACATAGCAAACATATTTTACCATGAATTAACTAAATCAAATGAAAGTAACATCTGTAAAATATTGAATGCACACTTACTCTAAGATTCTGAATGGAGTTGAAAACTGAACGAGCGTCCCCTTACTGTGAGAGATGCAGGTCAAGGCAAGAGTGATGTATTCAGTCCTAAAATAATTTTATAAACAATTGTAAGCATATTTTCCCCACAGTACCTTAGTATAGTATGCATACTTCATGAGAAAACAGAATGCCAATAACAAAGAAACTACATTTTAACACTATCAACTACAAATAATATTACCATATAGTCTAGGCATAATAAAAGTACAATTACTATACTGTGCACTTACTCAGTGTGATTTTCCAGCAAACTCAAAACTGAACGACGTGCGTGTGCCTTTCTTGTGCAAGATGCCGGTGATGCAGCCACAGTCCTAAACGAAAATTAAAATAGTTGTTAGCAATTACCAGAACAGGCCTCTCTCATCTTTTTAAGTGGGAGAACTTGCACAATTGGTGGCTGACTAAATACTTTTTTCCCCCACTGTATATGCAGTGAATGAATCTTCATAATGTTTCCCTTGATTATACATGTAGTCAGGAATCATGGTTTGGAAAAAGTAACTAGTAAAATATGTACAAGTTATGTCACAGTAACACAATAGCAACTAATGCAAGTAGGCAAATAAAAAAATACTTACTATATCCTCCACTGAATATCACGCCGGCGCTTATTCCTCTCAGCGCAGATGATTGTAATAACAAAAGCACGATCGGTGCGTGGGCGCGGTCACATTAGCGATAATGAAGCCGACGGCCAAGACTTGACATCGCGTTGGTTTCATACTGATTACCGTATTGGCCCGAATATAAGTCGACCCTGATTATAAGACAAACCCCCTTTTTCCAGATGTACCTTTTGGGAAAAGGCTTTTTAAAAACCAAAAAAAACAATTTCTCAGTAAAACACATTTTGTCTTCAATTATTATCATATTGCATATTTTTCCTATTTTATTTTTGTTTTGAAAGTATGGTAAAAACTGGTAAAATGTACCAACAATCACGTTTAAAAAATATACACTTTTTGATATACCATTAAAAAAAAAAAACAGGTAGCCCATCTGAATTAGGACATTTAGGCTATCCATCTAATAGTAGCCTACCAAAATCTTATTAACAGCAGAAGTTAAATCTTACTGTAGTCTTCAAATCTGGGTACTGTCTTATGTTTTAAAATCACAAAGGGAGTTTGGTCCCATCAGGCTAACTTGACATTCACGACTCATGCAGCTGTAAGGTTTTCTGCTTTTGTTTTTACTCGTGATCTTTGCAACACACATTATATTACGTATTTCATGGCACACTCGTTTTATGCGTATTTGGCGCCACATAGTGTTGTGGGTGTATTATTGACATGTCAAAGTCTAAACCCTGAATATAAGACGACCTCGTTTTTTCAGATGTATTTCCAAGAAAAAAAACATGTCGGGTTTCAAACAGATATGCGCGGAGAATGAGACGGCTAAAAGCACACCCTGTTTATTTTCTTTATTTTGCAAAAGCACAATGTTTTGTTGATATTGTGAGTGTACACAAATAAAAGTAGACCCTTTACAGATTTAAATGCTGTATTACTCTTATATGTACGGTCAAGTATGAAGGAGCATTTTAGTTCTTTTCGCTGTTATCATTCATCATACGCTGGCGGAACTGTCGACCCCAGGAGGTTAAATTACTTGTCCTCTTCCTGTTGGATGTAGTAGTTCATTCATTGGTGGTCACAAGACCTCACGAGGTATCTATAAGTGGTTTAAGAACTGTTCAGTCCTGATACAAAAGATCTCTGTGTTATCTCCTGATTGGATTAGTTCGAAGCCTCATGATGAGTTGACTCAGTAGCATCTCAGAGTCCGTTCATGATAGAAATCCCTACATATATCCCCCTTTTGCTCGGTGAGGTTCCCATTGCGAACGTCAGCGGGCACTGGAACAAGAGGCAGAGAGAACAGACACACACAAGACACAAACAACATCTCCATCACTGACTGAATCCTGGTGCAGGACATGGGTAATTTGGGAATGATCAGGTTCGAAAATTGAGAACACGTAGGGTTGCATTATTTAGGATTACTTGTATCATTGTTGAGTCATTTAGATTGCTCTAATTGTCAGAGGTTCGACGAGGCGGTATAGGCGTAATCTCAATCAGGTTGGTTGAGTTCTCAGGTTCAGGTTCAGGTTCTTGGTCAGTAGGTAATGAATGTCTTTAGTGAGTGTACACATTTTCAGGTTTGGGGCCAGGTACAATAGCTCATTGTTATCGTGATATGCAACGACTTCAGGAGTGTGTATTTTGACATAGGTGTTACTCTGCCAAAATCCCACATTCACAACGTCTTTGAGCCGGTAAATGTTATTGGAGTCAATAATAGGTAAACTGAGGAGAAAGGCCAAGTCGCCTACTTCTGGGTCTACGTATAAGGGGATAGCGCCGCCCAGGGAAAAGGCAAGATGGGTTTGGATGGGACTAGCAGGGCCCATAGTGGCCGAAGTTAGGATGTTTTGGACAAGGCTAAGAGGTATCAAGTAGTGGGGGATCCTACCCATGGCTAAGTTATCGATCGAGGAGCTTACTTCCCGTAGCATGTCAGTCATGAGGGTGGTTAGGAGTTGTGTTTGGGCTAAATCGCTTTGCACGACCGAAAATAGTTTGTTGATGGATTTTATGGTTTGATTTAGAAGGGTGCTATGGGTATTTAGAATTGTGATGGTGCCATTCAGCGACTTCCCGAAGGTCTGTAGGGCGTTGCTCTGGACTAAGAGCTGTTGTCATATCCCAGGCATTTCAGCCGTCGGACGTATACCTTTTGAGTGTAGGTTTTGCAGTTCGTTATCAATAACCCCGATTTTTCACAGAGTACTATCCCAGACGCTGGTCCCGGCGATGCAACTTCTGGCTGGGGCATAACCCCAATTATGCAGAGCACCAAGGCGGCGAGTCTGAACATCGTCCTGGTGATAGAACAGAAAGAAGGAGCAATTAGCTGTGAAGATCATGGTTTGGCGGGGTCGCCTCGACAGCTTTTTTCAATGATTTGCGACAAACAAAAAAAAATTTGGCGAAAGGAGTCAATCCTAGTTTCGGGACCTGGATTTAAAGTTTAGTTAAGGGAGTTCCCTGATGAGGGGACTAGAGGGGACAGGAAATTATAGTGAGACGGGGAAACGAAAAACACAAAGAGAGACACAAAGGAAAAAAACAAAAAAAACAAAGAGACACACGGACCCCGAATGAGGTGAGACAGCAAACGAGTGTCACATGTGTAGAGTACCTCCTCTCTACTAGAGGTTGGTCCTAGCAGTGCGGCGGAGGAGAGTGTGTAAATGTTGTGTCTATGCATGGTGGCTACAGTGGGGAAAAAAAGTATTTAGTCAGCCACCAATTGTGCAAGTTCACCCACTTAAAAAGATGAGAGAGGCCTGTAATTTTCATCATAGGTATACCTCAACTATGAGAGACAAAATGAGAGAAAAAAA